CTGGGCATTCCTGTATTGGGGTACTGGGAGCACTGGGAGGGGCTGGGGGACACCATGTCAGGGTACTGGGAGCACTGGGAGAGGCTGGGCAATCCTGTATTGGGGTACTGGGAGGGGCTAGGACAGGTGGGGGACACCGTGTCGGGGTACTGGGAGCACTGGGAGGGGCTGGGAGGGGCTGGGGGACACCATGTCGGGGTACTGGGATCCTTTACTGGGGTACTGGGAGCACTGGGACCCCGTCTTAGGGCACTGGGAACACTGGGAGTACTGGGAGGGGCTGGGCAATCCTGTACTGGGGTACTGGGAGCACTGGGAGCACTGGGAGGGGCTAGGGGACACCGTGTCGGGGTACTGGGACCCTTTACTGGGGCACTGGGAGCACTGAGACCCTTAATTGGGGTACTGGGAGCACTGGAAGTACTGGGAAGGGGTGGGCAATCCTGTATTGGGGTACTGGGGGGGCACTTTTGGGGTATGCCAGGTCACTTTTAGGGTATCCCTGGTACCTTTAGGATACCCTAGGACAATTTTGGGGTATCCCAGGACACTTTGGGGGCATCCGGGGACACTTTTGGGGTATCCCAGGATAGATTTGGGGTATCCCAGAATACATTTGGGTTATCCCAGGTCCCTTTTGGGGTATCCCAGAATACTTCAGGGTATCCCAGCTCACTTTCAGGGTATCCCTGGTAACTTTAGGGTATCCCAGGACAATTTTGGGGTATCCCAGGTCACTTCGGGGGTATCCCAGGATAGATTTGGGGTACCCAGAATACTTTAGAGTATCTCAGGTCACTTTTAGGGTATCCCAGGTAACTTTAGGATATCCAAGGACAATTTTGGGGTATCCCAGGTAACTTTAGGATATCCCAGCACACTTTTGGGGTATCCCAGGATACTTTAGGGTATCCCAGGACAGTTTTGGGGTATCCCAGACCACTTTTAGGGTATCCCAGGTAACTTTAGGATATCCCAGCTCACTTTTGGGGTATCTCAGGACATTTTGGGGTATTCCAGGATACTTTAGGGTATCCCACCTCCCTTTTAGGGTATCCCAGGTAACTTTAGGATATCCTAGGACAATTTTGGGGTATCCCAGATCACTCTTAGGGTATGCCAGGACACTTTTAGGTTATCCCAGGACACTTTTGGAGTATCCAAAGATACTTTTGGGGTCAGTCTCAGGTATCCCAGGTCACTTTTGAGGTATCCCAGGTCACTTTTAGGGCATCCCTGGTAACTTTAGGATATCCCAGGACACTTTTAGGTTATCTCAGGACAGTTTTGGGGTATCCCAAGGCACTTTTGGGGTCAGTCTCGGGTATCCCAGGTCATTTTTAGGGCATCCCAAATAACTTTAGAATATCCTAAGACAATTTTGGGGTATCCCAGGTCACTTTTGGGGTAGTTTTTGGGGTCCTACCTCTCGGCCTCCTGGCCCAGCAGGGCCTTCTCGAGCAGGTCCCGGGCGGGGCCGGGGTGGAGCCCCCGGGCTGAGAGGGCCCCCCCCGAGGGCAGGGGCAGCACCGGCCCCCCCGAGGAGTCAATGGGGGGGTCTGGAGGGGGGGCCCGACCCTCGCCCTGCCCCCGCATCCGGGCACTGAGAGAGGGGGGGAAAGGGGAGGTCAGGACACCCCCAAAAAAACCCCTGAAAACACCCCCAAAAAACCCCCCCAAAACCCCTCAAAAATGTCCCAAAACCCTCCAAAGAAAACATCTCCAAAACACCCCCAAAACACCCCAAAAATCCCTCCAAAACCACCACCAAAAATATAACCAAAACCCCCTCAAAAACACCCCCAAAATCCCCCTAAAAACACTCCCCAAACCACCCTAAAAACACCTTCAAGAACATCTCCAAAAGCCCCCAAAAACACGCCCAAAACCTTCCAAAGAAAACACCTCCAAAACACCCCCAAAACACCCCCTAAAAACATCTCAACCCCCCAAAAATCCCCTCAAAAACACCCCCAAAAACACGCTCAAAAACACCCCCAAAACCCCAACAACAACCTCAAAAACAATCCTCCCAAAACCACCCCCAAAACCCCTCAAAAATATCCCAAAACCCTCCAAACAGCTCCAAAACACCCCCAAAACACCCCAAAAATCCCTCCAGAAACACCCCCAACCTCCCCAGAAATACCCCCCAAAACCCCCCCAAACGTCCCCAAAAACACCCACAAAACCACCCCAGAACCCCCCAAAAAACACCCCAAAAAGCATCCCCAAAACCCCCTCCTAAAACACCCCCCAGGGTTGCCCCAACTCCCCCCC